GAAATCAGCTCGATGATGCTCTCTAATTAATCATAACAGCATTATGCCTATCGGCATTATGATTTATGATGACGATAGACTATCATCATCATTATCGTCCAAAAGTAACAGTGGCCGTTGCCTAAAGCCTCCCATCATAGAACGTCATCTAGCTCAGTGGCTGAGAGAGCTATACGTCGTCTATCGCAAAAACCAGGAGGGATATGACACGTCCCTAGTGAAGAATAATGGGCTGGATATTGTGACTACTTCTCTTGTTGGGTAGCAGTGGTCAGCAGAACTCATATGAAACTAAAAGCTGTAACTACTCCATTGTGTCAGAGAATGTTGCTTAGAATTCAAGTCAGGACTTCAAGTTGAAACTGCTGTCTTTACCTTTCCGGTCTTCCGATGATCACAAAATCATCACCCAAGACCCTTGAAATCTCAGTAATTTACCCTACTCCCCGTAAGTAGCCCGTAATCGTTTATTAAATATCATGACCGCCTTGCTGATTCCTCTTCTCCTACGCTCAAAGAGTTCGTTTTGTTTGTGCTTTTGCTCTACACAGGGCCTTTCAGTCCGTATTCGCACTCATGTCAGCATTGCCCGTATTATCTGTTGTCGTTACGATGAACTGTTTCAACTCATAAGAAACACACATCACCATAGTAGAAACGTTCAGTGTATACGTAGGACTATACTAGAAGCCAAACTCGTCTCCATCCTCTTCATCCACCTTACACTCCTTCAACACAGCGATAATGGCCTTACCTCGAGACTGCTCCTCTGTTGGCAGTTTAGGGAGTACGAGCGATTCAACCTGAGAATAAACGCCACACCTAAACCTAAAGGTATCCGCATGTACACTCACCATCATTTCCAACCCGTCATGCAAATCGCTGTATTTTCCAACACACTCGAACAGCTTGGCCGTCTCGTCTCCCTTCCGATCAATGAGCTCAATAATGAGCTCCCTAATCAGCACATCCAACTTCACTCGACCATCACCCGTCTCAGCAGAGGCGAAGTCGAGGAACCTCAAAATCGTCAAATCCACGACGCCCTCCACTATCATAAACGCGGCGATCTTCGCCAGAATTCCGACCCTCTTGACAGGATACGTATGACACTGTTGCAGCAGTTTCGTCAATGCGTTCCTCAAAGCGTGGGAGTATCTCGATCCCCACGTCCCTGGCAGCTCCGTGAGAGCTTTCCCGACACGACAGTAGTATCGATTGAAGGAATTCTCATGAATGGCACAGTGTAGCAACACGACCGCAACTTGCGGCACCAACTTCGGTCGAGAACCGATGACCTGCCCCAACCGGAACACCGCATGTTTGTAGTCTTCCGCGCCCATGAGTGCTATGAAAATAGACTTTCGCAAATCCGTGTTCATCTTCATTTTAGCCGCCAATTTCAACAATCTGGCGTGTTCACTGTCCTCAGCTTTAGAGGTGGTGGCGGTGACTCTGATCCCCCCAGAGGCGCCTCGCCACCAGGGAATGTCCTTCAGCCTGTCAACCTGCTCCGGATCGAACATGTTCACGGGAACTTGCAAGAGGGAATCTTCCGGAGTTCCCCGACCTTTTAGTAGATTCGACGACTTCAACCAACCAAAATTTGCCTCAAAATGCGACAGAGCCGTGAAGTTGACTTTGTTGTTCCTCAAGTTTTCGAGCTCGCCCAAA